CAGTATCAAGACCAACATTCTCTACATACAGAAATCATAAAAACATTTGGAAGAGTTGGACCTAATGCTGAGCCCAGATTTAGAGATGAATGTAAGTTGCATCAGTGGGAAGATGCAGTCTTCCTCTTCCTGTCTCAAAGCTAACAGTATGCTGGTTATATTGACTTTTTCTGTCTTTACAAAAAGTTTGATGAAACCTCTTGTTTTCAGAGTTTGGTATGTCCCAGTATTTAAGACTTGGCTAAGACAATTTTCACTTTACCTAACGTTGATGTGTTCATGGAACACCAGCACATGGTGATGAATGATTTCAGAGCTGAAGGGAACTGGTCACTTTCTGCAGAGCAAATTTGAAGTTGTCTTTTTTTTAATTACTTGACATGTAAAATGCTGCCTTCTCCCTCCCCCATCCCCCATTGCTTCCCCCCTTGCTGGCATTCAAATTTCAAGTATTCCACACATCTTAAATACAGATGCATCCCAGATTAACCAAACAGCTTTTCTTTCCATGGCCTTTAAATGTAAAGCCACACAGAAAAGCAAAGTCAATTGTTAAACTGTCTTAAAGATAATTGTAAACAGAACATGAGGAGCTATTGTGCTTCCCAACTGCAGGTGTCTAGTTTAGCAGGCTAAATTCATTAGATAGGCTTCCCCTATAGTCAGTGAAGATTTCTCATGGCATGCATATCTCTGTCACTTGCTTATCAGCTGTATTTATAAAATAGAGGCATATTTTAGACAGCTTTAGCTGCAGGAGGGTAGTAATGTTGCTAAATATTTTCTGTAAACTATTTCAAAGATACTCTGAGGTACCTTTTTATTTTAGGTGACCTTACCACAGTTTTATTTCAGGCTTGAGCTGGTCAGTTAAATCTGCAAGGACAGTCCCATCAAAAGCCATTATTTGGAGTTCTTATTCCACACTAATGTGTGATGCTTCAGATGTCTGCAGTTGCCACTTAGCAACTGTTTAATGCTAAGCAAGTCTACAGAAAGCAATTTCAAATACTTATTCCAGTATTTACTTTTACAGTTGTTATTCCACACTTGCACAAGTTAGCCTTGGTCAACAACCAGCAATCTGTGGATTCGAAGAGACTGGATATCGCTACCCACCTGTTTGAAGCCTACAGTGCTCTTTCCTGTTGTTGTATCCTTTTTTTAGGGGAAGTTTAGCTGTTAATTCTCTGGTGGGGGAATAATAGCAGTACATGAGAAATAACTAATTTTGTCTTTGAATGTGTAATCTAAAACATGATCTGTTCAGTGTAAAGAAGAGGTTTTCACAGAAGGTGGATGTGGTGGATTGACCTTGGCTGGGCACCAGGTGCCTGCAAAGCCACTTTATCATTCCCATCCTTGACAGGACAGCAGGGGAGAAAATAACATGGAAAAAAATCTCGTGGATCAAGATAAAGGCAGTTTAATGAAGCAGAAGCCGCACACAAATTAACTCCGTCTCAGCCAGACCCAACAGTGGAACTGATAGATACTTTAAAAAAAAAAAAAAAGCTACAAAAAAAGCCCTTGATCTGAACAGTAGATTAAAAAAAATATGAAAAGAATGGTATGGGTGTATGAAATATATGAAGTTAAATATGCTTAGGATCTTTTTTTATTAGTCATGATGTGCCAAATGCTGTTCTGTTTTCTTGGGTTTTGCTGCTGTAACTTGTCCCTGTGTTCAGCAGAATAACATTATCAGAAGACAGGAAAAAAAATTGTATCATTTCTGAATACAATCCTTATAATACCTTAACAACCTGTTTTTTAGTTATTTCAGAGGATTTAATGGTCAATCACTTTTTACCAGGACTTAAGTGTTTACGAATTGACATGGAACATCTCTCTCCAGAGCATGAGGTGAGCAGCTGTGTTTACTAACCGAGTATGGTGGCAGCAAAAGTTGAAATGTGATGGTATTTAAAACCAAAAGTTAAGGAGAGCTACTCATAAGTGGTATCCAAACATAGCATTGAGGAGTTGTTTGATAAGGAGTAGGTCACATGGTTTAAAAAACAGTAAAATCTTTCAAAATGTATTTCTAAGCCAAGAGCCTCTGCAGAGAAATATTCAACAGTCAGAAATGCATGTACAAACACAGGTCTTTGTAGTCTGAAGAAAAAGGAAATATTTTTACCATCTATTTTTTCATCAAAACAAGGATACACTAAAATCAGTGGCCATAATATACCCAAGGAAATCCAGATGAAAATTGGTGGAGTGCAGGAGAGAAGTGATGGGCAAGGATGAGGAAGGTATAAACCTGAAATACATGCAATGTACTTCATATCTGGAGTACTGTGTCCAGTTCTGGGCTCCCTGGTACAGAAGCATGGACCTACTGGAGAAAGTCCAGCAAAGGGCCAAGAAGATGATGAAGGGACTGGAAGGTCCCTTGTAGGAGAGGCTGAGAAAGCTGGGACTGTTCAGCCTGGAGAAGAGCAGGCTCGGGGGGGTCTTACCAGTGTGTATAAATACCAGGACAGAGGCTGCAAAGAGGACGGAGTTCAGCTCTTCTCAGTGGTGCCCAGTGACAGGACCAGAAGCAATGGGCACAAACTGATTGGACTAGATGATCTTTTGAGGTCCCTTCCAATCCCTAACATTCTGTGATTCTGAAACACAGAAGGTTCTCTCTGAACATTAGGAAACACTTTTTACTGTGAGGGTGACCAAGCACTGGCACAGATTGCTCGCAGAGGTTGTGGAGTCTCCATCCGTGGAGATAATCCAAAGCCATCTGGACACGCTCCTGGACAGCTGGCTCCAGATGGCCCTACTTGAGCAGGGGGTTGGGCAAGATGACCTCCAGAGGTCCCACCTCAACCATTCCGTGATTCTATGAATTCTAAAAAGCAGACTATAATAAGCAGGCAGGACAACATGGGAGCTAACGAGATCTTCTGTGGTAGAATGAGCTTGCAGAACGTTGCAGAAGAGAAGAGTTGGAAGGAGAAGCTGACTTGAAAAATTTGAAAATCTTGGCCGTATGTCTGCACTTTTTTGTAAATACTTGAAGAGGATGAACACTAACAGAGATACTAAGTCAGGAGCTGAAAATGAGAGATGTAGATTAGTTGCATGTGGGGAAAATCTTGACAGTATGAACATTTCAAGCAGTGGAGGAAAAGATTTAGTCAAAATGTACAAAGGAACATCTTTTTGGTTGTTCAAGGTTAATACTGCATTTTCATGGATTACTTTGTACTTGAGAAAAGTAATTACTCTTCCTTATATTTGCAAAAGTGACTTAATTGAGACAACTATATTCTTCTAGGAGTTTGAAGTTCTTATACTTGGTAACAAAGTCCCTTCTTCCACAGTTATATTTTCAGTGTGTGTATATATATATATTTTCAGTGTAATAGCCTATAGTCACATTCTTTTATTTTCTCTATATTATTATATTATTTTATGTAACTTATAATGTGTGGAACTGAAGGTGAATTAATTTGAGGAACTTTCAGACCTAAAAGGAAAGAATCTGACTGCAGAGGGATGAGTCAGAAAGGACAGTAGTGACCTGAGCATCAGTCAAAAGCAACAGAATTGCACTTCCTTACCACAGGCAGCACTGGAGGAGATCTAGTATTGATGATACTCTCTTCAGAGTGAGCTGGGAGATGTATTGTGTTTAGGGAAGTGTAAGAATATATTTGAAAGCTGCAATAGGTAAAAGCTGGATTTAGTTTCATTTTCTTTGTTCTGTTGTATTCCCTAATGGGATAACTGATACAAATACTAGTACTTCATTTTTTAATAGCAGTTAGTGCAATTTCTAAAGTTTAAGGGCATAGTCAGTTCAAAAAATGCCCTGAATTAGAACAAAAGAACTTATTTGATTGAGTTTGAGTCCTGTAGCCAGAGAAAAGGAACTGAGGGCTTACATAGGATTAAAAATAAATAAATAAAGACAGCTCTCAAACCTCTTTTACCACATTCTGCATCACTGTGATTAATTGGCTTCAGCCATGATGCCAAGTCTTTGGTTTTTTTTATCTACAGAGAAACAAAAAATTAACAAGAATTACTCCTGCTCCAGTGAGTTAGAAAACTCACTGCAGCTTTTACTGTAGAAATGAAAATCTGGTGCTTACTCTGCTCCTTGCTACAACAGTATGTTTGTAGGCACCATGATAGAGACCTTTGAGGCCCAGGTAGTTCTGGTGTCTGTCTTTCAAGTCTTCTGTCTTAAAACTGTGGGTTTTTTTCTGAAGTAAATATGATTTACTATTTCAAATAGTTAGAGACTAGAGTAAACAGAATTAACCCTTTTCTCATTATTTTGGTCACTGTGGTGTTATTCCTGATTCAAATGGCATACAGTTACAAACCACATTTTTTCATTCACAGAGCCTTAGCTCTTGCAGCTCTGACATCAGTACAGAGTTTATACTCATCTTGGAAATGTGACATTTGTGAAACTGGCTTGTGATCCCGTCAGGCAGTGTTTACCACTTATCCCTCATATTTGCTTTCCTTTCATTCATATAAACAAAAGTGCAAGCTGGGTATTTAAACCAGACCTTCTCCTCTTTAAAATAAATGTTCAACCTTGTGCAGGTATTTCAAATACTTTGCCAGCATCTCTAATTCTGTGTCAAGTCCCTTCTTCCTCCTTCTCCACTTGCCTTCTGTTTCTTTTCAAAATAATTGGATTTTGAATTGCACAATAGTGAGATATAATTAGTACTTTAGAAAAATATTTAGTCCATCTGCAGTATTGTTTATAATACTTAAGCACATGTTATGTCTCCTAAATGTCTCTAAATATTAGTTATATCTCTAAAATATCTCTCCTAAAGGAGTCTAAATTTCATAGTCAGTCCTATGACCAAAAAGAGAGAACCCAAGGGAACAGGTGTGAGCAGTATGTGCAATATCATAAGGTAAAATTGCCATATGATATTATATTTATACCTTTCCTCTGTTTCCCCCTGAATTTTTAAGACAAATTAATTTGGGGAAGAATTGTTCCACTTCACCCAAGAATTATGCAACTTCTGGAAGGAGCTGTGCAATGGACAAGGGCTCCGTCCCAGTACTCAAATGATTCTGGGTTCTTACTGAATTATTCTCCCTCTTGATCAAGACCTTATACTGTTTATGTTTGGAACATCTAGATTCAGATAGAAGTACAAAAATATAGAGGTGCTCCAATGCATGGGTAGAAATGCAAAATAACAAAAATTATGGCCACTGCTCCTAGAAATTTGTGTTTTTCTTTTGATACAGAAAGAAAAGCTTGCATTTTCACTGGAATTCTGAATGCATTTCTCTTGTACCTCATACTCTTGGGTACAAGTACTTGTGTAATATTTTATGCAATGAAGGACAGCAAATTTAGCAGTAAGAGTTGTAGTCCTGCTAGACTCATACACAGGCGTGAATGCTGCTTTCTGAAACGTTCAAGGGTATCTAACACTTGCTACCCAGTTTCAAATGTTGAAGTAACACTTCTGGAGAAATAGAGTGAACAGTGGCACAGATCTGCAGACCGGGGCCGCATCTTATCAGTGAAATAAGTGGTTTCAAATTATATTTTGTCCTGCAGCTGTCTAATAGGGATTTGACAGAAAACAGCTTTTTTATGTATATAAACACATTTAAAAATAGTTATCATTTGGTAGTAACCATTACTGACTGATCTGTATTTTAGAGACTGAAATTAGGTTTCTTTCCTTTATTGTCTATATTCAGGTTTTGGTAAGACACTACTAATTTGAGTTGTTTGTAGCTTTCAGATTTTAAGTTTAATGTCTCAAAGAAAGTGCTTAGCTTTCTCCTGAACTGTGAGCAGAGAAAGTTTCTATTTGTCCAGTGGATGTGTGTGTGTGTGTGTGTGTGTGTATATATATGTATGTATACACACATATACGTTTATAGTTTCGCACTTTGCATTGCAACTGTTTTGCCTAAGCATTTCAAATGCTTTTGTCTTCATGTGTTAAAACAATACTGTTGTGGGCAGGGCAGGGAGTTACTTACCTTCCCAATGAATTGTATTATTTCTTTCAAAGCTTGCTACTGGGAAACATTCCTACATTTTTGGTATGCTGGAGAACTGTAAAAAGTCAGTGTGGGCGTGTTTTTCAACTTAAATATTCTGCAGAAACCTTTAATGCTGCAATTGCTTAAGTAAAGGAAAAAACCTTGGTTCATAGAAACCCTGGAAGATACCAGTGAAATGATACCACGTGTGCTTTAGCACTTCCTTTCCATTAAGATGTTGTCTCAGAATGCCATCACCTTTTTTCTTTTTTTTCCTTGCTTTTTCTTTCCTGCATAATGTTGAAAAAGATATGATAGAGAAGATATGTTGATAAAGGAAAATAGAGGGAAGATGAATGTATGTCAAAGTTAATTGCTAATAAATAAGAGTATTGTTTGAAAAAAGAAAGATAAGGAGGTGTGTCACAGAAGTGAGTTTGCTTTAGCTCTGTTTTAAAAAGCCAGGGGAAGCAGGAGGGAGTCTTGAACTCCTGTAACTATTTAAAAAACATATTCTTTCTTAAAGTATTTTGAATGGTTTTGTTGTTTCTAGCCACAAGGCGTTATCAGACAGCTGGAATTTAAATGCACTTGAAAAACAACAGAGAAACTTTTTAAACAGTTCTGTTAATGTCAGAATTGGATGTGAGGTAGATTTCTTACAAAGTGTTAATGCAAAAGAAAAAAATGTCATGTCTGTCTCTTCCTTATGTGTCTCAGGTTATTTTAAGCTCCATGATAAAAGAGTGTGAACAGAAAGTGGAAAACAAGACCGTCCAAGAACCGCAGGGGTAAGAGGTCCACTTCTCTTTTCTCTGTGCCTCCAGATTAACGTTCTGCAGAGTCTATTCCGTAATGGTATCCAGGGCTTGTCACCAGAAATCCTGCACTGACATACTCTGTATTTGAAAGCAGATTTTAGGAACTTTATCTTTAATTCAGTTTGTGGTTGTTTCTGTCTCCAGTGTAAAACACAGGACAGCACATTTTTATTTGTATCATGGCAATGACATTCTTGTTTTCCCATGTTACAGAGAAGGCAGAGAGTGCTTGGCCTAAGTGCCTGTGGCACGCACTTTGCAACCCTCTCTCATGGGGGTGGTCTGCAGGCTGAAGGAATTGTTCTGGTCATGGTAATGACCTGCTCCAGGCTGTTGTCTTTGCTTGTATGTGACTAATGTGCACAAGAACAGTTTCTCCAGTGTGTAAACTGACTTACCTGTGTGAATATGCTGTTTAGTAAACATGTTGGCTTTGGGAAATTGCCATCCATGTTGCTCTTCAGTAAAACACCCATTCTACAAATGCACAGTAAACTCAGCTCTCCAGTGAGGCGTCGGACACATGGTGTATATGCATCAGTTCACCTCAGGTGGTAGAGGTGATGTCATATGTGTGTATCTCTCTCTTGAGAACAAAATCAATTAACCGACCCACAAATCTGGAAAGCTCGGATGAGATGTGTCTTTTCTTTTGCCTGCTTGTTGCCTGGAATGGCATGCCAGCAGGGAACTTCTCATGGGTTATTATATAACTTGATAAATCCATAGCAGTGTTGCCAGGAACAGTTTGAGGAAAAAAAACAAACAGTAGGTATCTGAAAAAGAGAATCTGTCCTCAGTCCTTTGCATGGGTATCAAGACAACTACTGAAACTTGTTTATGTCATGCTTCCATATCTGGAACAAACTGATAGAATTTGCTTGTTTAAAGAGCTCAAGCAAAATCCTGGAAGCAACCAGTAATTTGAGAACAACTGAAATAGGAAAGGTGTACGAGAATTGAACAGAAGAGGCATGGTGTGGAAAAATAATTGGTCTCTCATGCACCAAATAAAATATCTCGGGGTTTACTAATAGTAATTAGACTGTTTACTGGTGTAGTTGATAATGAATGGAGTGTATTAAAAACTGAATCCATTTGAGACATGAGCATCAGGTCAGCTCTTAAAGGTGTATTAGAAATTAACTTAAGACTCAAAATTTCCAGGTTCTACAACAAATCACAACCTGTAGTGAATCTGTTCTAGTAAGAGAGTTGGTTCTGTCTAGTGGTATAGAAGTCCTGTCTAAGGAAGAAGAAATAGAAAGCCTTTAAGGTCTGAAGAATGCACTGTTGGTCATCTTTCCTCGTTCCTGTTCATGTGGCAATATTATGAAGTAGGGGCTGTACTAACTGAATGTATTCTAGTTGAGTGGCTATTTCCACGATGAAATAGGTATTTCTTTGACATATTAGTTATTCACAGAATAAGAACAGGTTTATTTGACTTAATTGCTCCAGAGGCATATTCCTTGCTTGCAACATAAATAGCCAGTCAGTCAAAAACCAAAAAATGCATTCATTTATGCTGCTGGTTTTTTCCCAAGGTTTCACCATGTTGCTTCCTCAAGCTTTGTACTTTTGCCCTTATCCTTTCTGCCTTCTTTTAAGTGGATCTTTCTGGCATGCGTACCTGTGTGTCCTCCCAGTAGCCATACTCTGAATGCCCATCCCCTTCCTGGATTCTTCAGATTCTTCAGCAGCTGTGTGTTTGCTTTTTTATTTTTAAAGAATGATGAATGCTTAGCTTGCCTTCAGCTATATTAAAGGCTGACACTTAAGCCAGCTATTTCCTCAGAAAACAACCTATCAATAAGGATTCTTGGCAAGACAGAAACTTGCTAGTTGCCCCATTAGACCCATTCTACTTTTTGCAAGTAAGCATTAGTTTTATCAAGGTCTTCCCTGTACTCTGTACCTTCAGAGGTACAGACCTCTGTACGTCAGAGATACCCAGTAGGTAATTGTGATAAGGCAGAATTAACAGCCAGCCTCTTTGCAGATCTGTTGCTAAGCGATTGCTGTAGACTCTCACTGACCACCCTGTACAAAGACATCCCTCCACATAAGCAATGACTTAATAATTTGACTAACAAGTTGATTCATTAGAATCAGTTGCATACATGGGCATCTATTACTTTGCAAATATTTCCCCTCCCTGGGTTTTATAGATTTTTTTTTTTTGTTTCCTCATCTACAGACTAACCGATATTCTTTTTTCATTTTCATTCTTTGTGCAATAAAAAAGCCACCACCTCAGACTTTGACTAAGTAAAGAAAAAAATAAAAGCAGTGTGTGTATCTACATAGGTAAGACTTTTGTGTCTGATAAACATTTTTTTGAAGCTCACTTCTTGAGCAAATTCTTGCCAGCCTTTTAGGAGAGATCATGAGGAAATACGAAATTGATTCCTTCTCAGGCAAATGTATTCTGAAAGAATTTCTCTTTTCTCCCAGAATGCAGCAAATGTACACAGTATCAAAATGGTCTCTTTAAAAAATGCCATTAACCTTAGCCTGAGGGGTTTTTATTATCTTACCTGTATTAACTGAACTGTGAAACCTATGAAACAAAATTCCTGGGCTGAGCTCTTCCTGATTCTCAGGTGGTGCTCTTCAGTTGGACAGGATTTTTAATTGTTTTTTTTTTTCTTTTTAAATGTGTGTTTTTGCCCCTCTCAAATGTTCTAACCTATTTAGTCCAGCAGAGCTCTTCTCTGCATGGCTAGAGTTTGAGTGATCAACTTTTATTTCATGTGGGGTTTAGATTTACTTTGCTTTAGCTTATATCAGTGCAGACACATTAACCTAAATGTAAGAGGTCTGTATTACTTAAAATCCCTCTTATGAGAATATTTTGAATCACAGTTAGTCCTATTAAGCCATCACAGAGGCAGATAAATGCAAATATGATACAACATCAAGTGTATTTTCTTTTTAGGACGCAGCTGCTGAAAACTGTAAGATTTGAAAAGGATAACTCTTTGCAATGTGTTGCTTCATTCTTTAATTAGCCTTCCCTTTTCTTATTCAAAAATCAGGCTATGGTTGCAATCTTTTACTCTACAAATTTAGCACGAAAAATTTTACCACTGAAGAAATGACCTTTTCATATATGCAAATATCTCCTTTTTCTTTCTAAGCCCTTGCCAATTTCAGTTCCTAATTTCAGTGTTAAACATACATTTGACAAAGGATTGAAACGCAACTAGGAGATAAATTACTGATTGTTGTTAACAACACGAGAATGCATGCACAAAAATAAAACTGGATGCAAAAGCAATCATAAGGTGTTGTTGGTTATCTTGTCTTTGCCCCTTTCTGTTAGAAAATGTTGGTCAAATAATAGGGGGTCACAGAAATAGATTTTTTTAGGAAAAGATTAAACTTTGTCCTTTTTAAAATTGGATAGCCATTTTTGGTAAACATTTTCTTTAGCAATTAATGAAGTATTTCGATCTTGGGTAACAACTGATGTTACAAAATGATTTTTATAAAATGTCCAACATGAATGTTTGTTTTGTCCTAAAGCTTCCCCATAAAACAGGCAGAACTCTGTGTAGCATGTAATTCATCTAACACTGGTCAAAAATTTGAAGTTTATATGTTATCATTGGTTTTGGGTTTGTTCATTGGCTTTTTTTTGTTTGGTTGGTTGTTTTTTTAATAATGAGTAAATGCAAGGATTTTTCTATAGGACTACTTGCTTCAAACAAGATATTGCCTTGTTGGTTTCTGTGATTATTTTTTAAAGACTTGATACTCAAATTATTTGATTTCATACTGCTTTTATTATTATTTTTAAATGTTCAATTTGTACAGTAATAGAAATACTTTTGGGGCATATTTAAACTTTTAAGTACATCGAGTGTTGTGGATTATCTTTCTATGTACAGTAACATAATTTTAGCAGTAACTTACCTGCTAAGTTTTATCAACTGAAAATATGCAATTCACTAGTTGACTGTAGATGTTTAATCAAGCCAAAGATGTCTGGCTATGTGATTGTGCTTGAAAGAAATATTTCACTTTAAAAGCTTTTATAAATAATTTAAAAACACCTATATATCTTCATCACTGGCTGCTAAATAGAATAAAAATATTATTTTTTAAATGTCCGTTTTAATCAGATCTTGTCTAGAAAGGGATATAACCTGAGAACAATTTTCAAAATTTTAAACTTTACTAAAAATTCAGACATCATACTTTCAATAAAATGATGCTTAAACCCTAAATATTAGATAATGAGGAACTTTGCAGAGCTTTCAGAAAATACCAACTAATTTAAAATTAGATTATTTGAATGACCTGTTCCATTAATAGGAAATGTACTGAAAAAAGAGTATGGTTGGTGATACTCTCAGGTGTGCTGTGTGAGGCATACCTAAGGCCCCTTCAAGGATCTCAGTCCATTAGGCACTGTGGAAATGCAGAAGACAGGGAGTCACTTCAGCTTAAGAAGTAAAGGGATGGATGGGTGATGATACATTTGAGGGGATATAGTTATGATACAATTAAGCTCTCTGTAAATCCACAGTACAGCTTTAGTGAGAAGCTCCCCTATTGTTTTTTCAAGTACTCTGTTTGAAAAGAACCAGAATTCATTACTGCTAACCACCTTTTTTGTGGTTAACTTCATCTTGACCCGCCTTGATGCTTAAGTGTCTGATAGAGCTCTTTATAACCTTGCAGACTGAAAAGTCAGTTCCTGGAAGCTGGCCTGTGTCAGTTAGACAAATCTTGTGATCTTAGGTATAATTTTGAAATGCAGATTCCATGCTGAGCTCGCAAGGGTGAATTTAACAGGTAATATTTTATAAAAGTAGCCCTGTCTAATGTTGAAAAATGTTTGCCATTTTAACTGCAAATATAGGAAGTATGGAATATTTCTTAATATTCCTGCTATGATACATTTACCTTGTTGCACTCTGTCTTGAGACAGATTTCTCCTACTGTGCTTAACAGTTGCATATATCTGAAGTTGAGCTCACTGATATGTTGTAATTAAAAATAAATCAGTTAATTTTGCAGCATTAGGATAATTTCTTAACAAGCTGTTCAAAGTTGTACCATCTTGTAGGTTCAGCATTGATTGGGTTGCTCCTTCTAGTCTAGTTTGTGGGAAGGTTGTGGCTTCTCCATTTTTCTCTCTAGTCTGTATGAAGTAGGAACACTCAAGCAAAGGTAGCAGGAGTCACATTCAGAACACTCGGGAGAAAGCTCTTCACCCAGTGAGGGGTTGGCCTAGTAGGACTCAGTGCCCCGGAATGGGCTTTACAATAAATTTACCAGGGGATCGAGGGAACACTGAATAAGTAGTATAAAATAAAAATCAATTGGGAGTTACTATATTGACAGTCCACACCAAAAGACTCTGCTCGGGTGGAAATATTTGCAAAACAGGAAAGTTGGAAATTAAGGAGAGAGGTCACCATTTTGTACTTAGCTTGTTTTTACTCTTCCCTACATGTCTGCTAGTGGTCACTGTTGGAGGCAGGATACTTGGGCTAGATAGATCCTTGGTCTGAACCAGTACTTGGTTCAACTGAACCAATTGTTCTTATATTAAATAAAGAAGGATTAACATTTCCAATGAGAAGGTGAAGCTGATCTGTCACATCATTGGTATTTGTCACTAGAGCAATTGCCAAATAGCTAACAAGTGCTAACGTGGTAACTTCTAAAGGTAGTAAAATCTAGAGCACACAAAAATAGTTTACAGATTTTCACCAGGACTGTGAGGGCATGATAAAGAGTGTGTATTTGGTCTTGGTGGTGATGCTTTTTCAATTCTTCTTGATGGACTGATCTTTTGCGATCTTGAAACCTCATTAATGTTTATAAATATGTGAAGGGCGAATGTCTGGAGAATGGAGCCAGGCTCTTCTCAGTGATGCCCAATGGTAGGACAAGGGGCAATGGGTGTGAGCTGGAACACAGGAGGTTCCGCTTAAACTTCAGAAGGAACCTCTTTACAGTGAGGGTGACGAAGCACTGGAACAGGCTGCCCAGGGAGGTTGTGGAGTCTCCTTCTCTGGAGACATTCAAGACCCATCTGGACACCTTCCTGTGTGATCTCATTTAGGTTCCTTCTCTGGCAGGGGGATTGGACTAGATGATCTTTCAAGGTCCCTTCCAATCCCCAACATTCTGTGATTCTGTGAAACCTCTAAAATGCAAAGACAATTCAGTTGCTTATTAAAATAACAGCACAGTGTTCTCTTTTCTTTGTAGCCTTATGTCACTGTTTTTTCCTTTCCTAGCTCAATGTCGATTGCAGCGAGCCTTGTGAGCGAAGATACAAAGACCAAGTTTTTGAACAAAATGGGCCAGCTGACTACATCGGGTGCAATGTTGGCTAATGTGTTTCAGAGGAAGAAGTGAGATGGGAAAAGGAACTCTCAGCTAACACTAAGATGGACCTCACAGAGACTGGTTCCTGTACTTGAAGTACTTGCCTTTTAATTTCTTCTGTCTTATGTTCTTGTAGTATACTTTTATTCTAACCTCCAAAGATATTTGCACTGCTCTTGAATATCGCTGTGTATCTGTTAATTTTGGGTTAACTGTGGTTGATATAAAACTGAGATCATAGTCTGTACCAAGTCCCTGTTCTGTGTTCTTGTCTTTCCAGCATAATTTTTTTTATATAGTGGAAGGGTTTGGTTTTTTTTTTTATTTTCTGACAGGATATCAGCAAATATCTGTATTATACATGGAGCTATTATGACGGTACTTAAAATAATGTAAATTTGAAGTCATTGTCATGAAGTAATAAAAGTGGAGATTACTTATGTATTTAAATTATGAAAGAGTAATGCAGATTTTTTTATTATGTTTCTAAAAAGAAGAGGAAGAGCCACCAGCATTTGTCTGTGCTTCTAGGGTTGTTTTTGTAGGTGTTGTGCATCTTGAATCCAGAGGAACTGCAGTATCTAATGTATGAGACTGCTTGCACTGCATCAGTCTGCAGGGAATGCTTATGTTTCAGATGCTTTATGCTGGCATTGTAAATGCTGTACAAAGTCCTTCAGATAAAATTCTCGCATCTGTTGTGGTTTTTGGAGGGATATTTTCTTTTGTTGGGGTTTTTGTTTCGTTTTAAAGCACTTTAACAACCAGTCTACACATCCAGAGGCACAACCACTAATTAAAGGAAAAACATGATAAATTGGTAAATGTTAATAAATGTATAAGCTACTACACCGGGGTCCCAGTACAGATCTGCAGGCAGAGGAAACTTACGCGGGATAAAGAGTGCTTTCATCTTGCACTTAGTGTGCAGTTCTGTGTACTGTGAAAGCTAAAATTAAGATACTTTGTTTAGGTTGAATCTCAGTTCAGCTTTGATTTCAGAGTATTTGAAAGTATTTTAAGAGAGTTTGACATGCAGTTTGTTTAAAATGTTAAGTAGACTGCACGCATACTTTATAAAAATGACATTACAAGGAGCATCTTCAACAACTGTGAAATATTTTTGTTAGCAAGGAAGCATTAACAACTAAATCCTTTTATTCTTATGCAGCACTTTTTTTGTCCTTTTTTATGTCAATAGAAGCTTCTGAAAGTAAACTTGAGTGCGTGCATGAGCTGGTACGAGGTAGCAAAATGGAAAAGCTCAGGCATTCTCTGACATGGTACCAGTCAGTTGGAAGTATCAACGTCTTTGAGGAGAGGGGAAGCAAAAGGAGTGAGGGAAGAAAGTATTCACTTCTGAAACAGAATATGGATGGAGCAGCACTTCAGGTGTTGCCCTTAGATGGAAATAAAGGAGGTAATTTGAGGCTTTTAACTGCTTCATGTCTGTGCCTGTTGGCCCCGCGTCTACAGTTGCCTGCCACGTTTGTGTTGTCCAGGGCCTGCTGCACGCCGGCACACTGTCGGTCCCTCGACACTGCACTGATGAAACATTCTTCTTGAGATTACAAACAGCTCCATGCCTTCGTGTTGCTTGTTACCATGAAAGTATGCTTTTAGCAGACTGACTGTGAAATGGAGACATTCCTGAGGAATGGGAAGTGGTGACGTTCCTCTCTATTGTTCTGTTGTCAATAAAAAGTTTTGTACACCTGCCTTGTCTTGTTACTTGTAGTCTTCTCCAGAAAAGAAGCTGCTACAGGAGAGAGGTCTAATGCGCAGAAATTCTTTAGCCTGAGCTTTTTTTTTTTTTTTTACATAGCAAATGGTAGACTGAACTTGCTAAATTTCCTATCTCAGTGTGCCTGTTCCCATCTCAATGGCTTTATTGCCATTTTCATGCAGGGTCTTCTCCTCTCCTGTGCCTCACTCTTTAATTTATTTTTTTTTTCCTGTATCTGTTCCAGTAGTTGCAGTGCCAGCGATGGCTCTGTAGTCATGAGACCAAAATGACTTCTTTATGGTTAAACTCCTACTTCCCAGAGCAGGGCAGCTCCCTGTGAGAGTGGCTCATAGTCCACACTGAACTTCAGCCAGTGTCTGGAAACCTGCTAATCAGCACAAGCCAAAAAGCTGTGACAGAAATTTAACTGTGGACGACTGTAGAATAACACTCTTGTTTGTTAGTATAAATGTAGCACCTTTGCCCCCTGGGTCTGGTCTCTCCAGCCCCTTGCAAAGTTTAGCTTTTGCTAGTCAGCATTTTACATCATACTGGCTGATCCAAGGAGGAATTTGAGTGAGAATCCCAGGAATACCAGCTACTCTGGTAACCACTAAGGTTAAAAAAAAAAAAATCTGTGTAGGCAACAAACCTGATGTATGTTGCCTTCAGGAATTTTGTCTCCTAAATTTCAGGTTTCTGTTAGCATATGTTGGTTGCAAGAGGTTTTTCAAATGTTTATTAGTTTATCAAATGTTAACAGATTTTCAAGAAGATGGCAAGAAGTTGTTCTATGTGGTTGTTTTGTTTTGTTGGGTTTTGGTTTTTTTTCTTCTTCATCCTAGCTATGGCATTGTAGTGTTCAGGAGTGGGAAAGAAAATAGAGAAATCGTTAAAGAAAAGAATTACCAAAATATTTTAAATTAACTTTTCCCCTCCTGTTGTTTTACAAAACAAGTTAAGTAAACCTTTTGGGAGAAAATGCTTCATTAAAAGGAGACAGTTGGATATCCAGCATGGAAAGCAATTAATCCCCAAAGGATTATCTTCAATTGCTTATGATATTAAAAAAAAGAAAAAAAAACAACTTGGCTTTATTAGCTCTGCCTGAACTTCTACAATTCGTTGGCTTTAAACAGGGAGGATGTTGAAGGTCTCGTGAAATTTCAGGATCTTAGTATCTTTCTTGAAGGGCTTGGCTCTTGTGCTTTTAAGCAACGATGATCAGTGGGCTGAAGGTACGTGGCTGCCTGAATGAGCGTTCATGATGTAAATATACTTTCTGTAGATTAAACATAAGGCTGACTGATATGCATATATTTTGTTCTGAAAGGGATTGTTTTCTAAAACTGTAGATGA